TACTTGTCATCTTCTGTGAATTCAAGGGAAAGGAATCACCATTCCTGTCAAAATGGCACTAAGCACATGAAGAATCCTTATTGATTTTTTTTTTTTTCAGTCTACCTGTATGTCTATTTGTCTGTCATAGTTTAAATATAGCTCTCCTCAAAAGGAAAGCAAAACCATATCTATCTAACAGGGATATTTATGTAGCAGAACTATACTTTTACAGATTATGCTTATGAAACCTCAGCTAGGGTTGATATTTTAAAATCATCCTGCAGCAAAGTTTCTCTTGAAGAGAATCCACGCAAGCTACACTGATTTGGATTGTGTTGGAAACTTGAAATTGAAAGGAAGCAACTCCTAAAATATGAAGGCAATCCATTTCTAATCCTCATTAAAAATATTCTGTGTGATTTATGACATTTTCAAGTTAAACCACAAGAGACAGACAGAGACTGTGGTTGCAGTGGAGGAAGGACACGAAGTTACCCTGAACAAAATGAAAATATAAATACAGCCTTAATTAAACCCAAACAGATGTAACAATTGGGGAGGTAAACTATGTTTAAATGCTACGTTGTGGTTCCAGTAGCTTAACCTGGGCATTTAAAAAGTAAAGCATCACAAGAAGGAAGACTCAGAGTAGGAATTTCTGCTAGCCCAGGCTTTCTTGAACAAGGAATTCAGCATCAGAGCCCTAGAAGGATGCCCACTCCTCCCCTGCAAGAGACGCTAGGGAACCATCATATTGTTCTTCTGATCCTTGTGTTGGATATCTTCCATACTGAAACACATGCCAAGGGGACCTACCATTTCTGGAGACCTCTTGTAGACACCTAACCACAAAGTCTAGTGCCTTTCAACTCTTATTCAAAGGGTGCCTAAATTTGGGAGGCACCTTTGTTTTAGCAGTGATAGTAGACCACAAGTGCATAAAATTTGCCTTTAGCCAGGCCACAGGTACCTAAGGGTGAGATTCCTTAGCCTGTGAGAGCAAATACCTTTCACTTGAAAAGGCTTATTATTAGAGGTTTGTAGACGAAAATATAGACAAAATTTTTGTTTGTTTTGGGAAGTTTAGAGTTGTTAGGCACAAAGGGGTGCCACTTGAGAAAGATTTCTGAGGCAGTAGAGTTCATGAATAGGTATTTACTATGGTAAATCACAGATAGAAGAGTTGAAATAGACAGCATCAAGGCTTTTCTTCCAAGAGCTTTGTGTCAGTGAGTGCTTTTTCAAGTTCCCCTGAGAGTTAGTTTCAGTCTTGATATAGCTCCACTGACAAGAACAGAATTTAATCTGCAATGGATTTGGCTCAAAGAGTTTTTTGCAGTTGTGTTCATGTGATGTGCTCATTACTTGGAAACTGTTTGCTCTGTGTCATGTGCGTGACATACTAGGAATACATTTCTAACTTCTCTGCAATTGCTATTTTCTTGTGCTTTTTTCCTGGGCTTCCAACCCTTTTTCTGGAAGCTCCTGAAAGACTTGGCAATATTAGTGGATGTCCCTTGTTTGACTCTTTCTCCTTTTCAGTATTCTTAGCTAACATTTGAAGCACTATGTCAAGTTGACCAGATCCAGAAATAACCCCCCAACAAGCATCTTGCTGCTGTAGCTGTGCTCAGTTTGGTTTTAGAGAGTATCTCTCTACTGCACTACGGCCTTCAGTAGAGGCTTCACCGTTGCCAGGTCTCAGGAATCATCAACAGTTATTTTGTGAAAGGCCTAGCAAGTTATTAAGTAAAAGCCTCTGTCAGAAATGAGCTTTGTCAGAATGGGTAATTCCAGATACAGTTAGCCAGCACCGTGTGCTCACCCCACTGAGGGACTGACCTGTTACACTGCCCCAAGGCAATTAAATTAAAGGTCTCATTTAACTAGACCTGAGGTTAAGTGACACCAGCTGGCTGGCACCTACAATTTTTTTAATCTAACCTCCTACAGCAGGTGTGTCTTGCAAAAAGATGCTTGGATTAAACAGTGCAGGTGATCGGAGCCCACAGGTAGGAGTGAGTGCCTGAACCAATTGCCTGCCCTTCTATGAAACAGCACAGAAGTGCCCACAGTTATCAGCTGACTTGGGCAGGCACTCTCTTCTGGCCCCTGCTGCCACTCCTCACAGAATTTACTGTTGCTCTGTCCTCTGCCTTTCGGGTCATTCACTGACATTTCCACACTTTTTCCACCCTGTACTTTTGTGAAGCTGCATCCATGCACCTGCAGCTTAATGGAAGTAATGAGCAGGCATGCATGTAGCACACGGAGGCATCAGTTCCTGCTTGCAGCTGCTAAGTGCTGCTACACTGCATAAAATAACTAAGCTAAACCATAAGCTACTGTGTCTGCCAAGAAAGATCTACACAGGCCAGGTCAAGAAAGCATGATTTTGCTTTGCAGACTGCAAAACTGAAACTAATTTTGCAGAATTAAAGGTGATACCAGTAAGACAGCTGCAAACAGAACATTTTTAATAACTGACATCTTGCAGAAATTGAAACTCAAATAGCTTTTCTTTTTGTTAGAAGTGTATTTCTTAATTCTTTAGCCTGGTCCTCTCAGCCTGTAAACCATCCAAGCAACTGCAATCTATCCCTAGTTCTCAATTACAGAAGCATAGAAACACAGAATGCTTTGGGTTGGAAGGGACCTTTAAGTCATCTAGTCTTCTTGCCCTGCAGTGAGCAGGGACATCTTTAACTAGATCAGGTTACTCAGGGCCCTATCAAGCCTGACCTTGACTGTTTCTATGGACGGGGCACCTACCACCTCTCCGGGCAGCCTCTGCCAGTGTTCCACCACCTTCACCATAAAAAATGTCTCCATAAGGAGATCTAGTCTAAATCTACACTCTTTTAGTTTAAAACCAGTACCTCTTGTCCTGTCTCAACAGGCCCTGCTTAAAAAGACTGTCACCATCTTTCTTATAGGTCCCCTTAAAGTACTGAAAGGTCACAATAAGGTCTCCCAGGAGCCTTCTTTTCTCCAGGCTGAACAACACCAAGTCTCAGCCTTTCTTCAGAGGAGAGGTGCTCCAGCCCTCTGATCATTTTTGTGACCATCCTCTGGGCCAGCTCCAACATGTCCAGCTCTTTCCTCTCCTGAGGACTCCAGAGATGGATGCAGTACTCCAGGTTTGGTATCATGATAGCAGAGTAGAGGGGATAATCAACTCTCTCATCCTGCTGGTAACACTCTTCTTGACCCAGACCAGGATACAATTGGCTTTCTGGGCTGCAAGCATGCATTGTTGGCTCATGGCCAGCTTTCCATCCACCAATATCCCCAGGTCCTTCTCCACAGGGCTGCTCTCAATCCCTTCATCCCTTAGGCTGTATTGATACTGGGGATTGCCCAGACCCATGTGCAGGAACTTGCACATGGCCTTGTTGAACCTCATGAGGTTCACAGGGGTTAATTTCTTCAGTTTGTCCAGGTCCCTCTGGATGACATCCCATCCCTCAGGTTTGTCAATTGCACCACTCAGCTTGGTGTGTCTTCGAAGTTGCTGAGGGTGCACTTGATCTCACTATGTCACTGATGAAGATACTGAACAGCACTCACTGGTCTCATTACAGACCCCTGAGGGACATGACTTGTCACCAGTCTCCATATGGACATCCATACGGATGTGACTATCTACCCTCAGGATGTGACCATCCAACCAGTTCTTCATTCACTGAACAGTCCACCCACCAAATCCGTATCTTTCCAATTTAGAGAGAAGGTTGTTGTGGGAGACCGAGTCAAGGGACTTATGACCAGAGAGGTGGTGACATCAGTTGCTTTTCCCTTGTTCACTGATGTAGTCACCCCATTACAGAAGGCCACTAAGTTGGTCACCAGGACTTGCAAAGTCACACTGACTGTTTCAGTTCCCCACCCTGTCCTGCACGTGCCTTAGTATAACTTCTAGGAGGATCTGATCCATGATCTTCCCAGGCACAGAGGTGAGACTGACAGGTCACTAGTTCCCAAAGTCCTCTTTTCTACCCTTTTTAAAAATGGGTGCAATGTTTCCCTTTTTCTAGTCCCCAGGGACTTCAATTGACTGCCAGGACTCTTCAAATATCATGGGGCGTGGCTTGGCAGCTACATCAGCCAGCTCCCTCGGGACTCTAGAATGTATCTCATTAGGTCCCATAGACTTATGTACATTCATGTGGTCACAAATCTGTTCTTCTCTTGCATTGGGGGGGGACTTTGCTCCCCTCATCCCCATCTTTCAGTACATCCACCCAAGAGGTGTGGGAAGACAAACTGCCAGTGAAGACTTTAGGCAAAAATTTATAAGGAAAACATGCTGTTTTCCTTGTATTCTGTTTATATCATGAATACAGAAAGAATACTTGATTGCATGTTCTCCTGTCCCCAGCTGAAAAAAAAAAAAAACAAAAAAAACCCAACCCAACAAACAAACAAACCAACCAAAAAAAAAAAACAACACACACACAAAAAAACAACCCAACCAAACACAAACCAACCCAAAACGCAGCACTCACTTGGCATAGATCACTGTTTAGCTGGGAAAAAAGAAAAAAAAAAAAAAGAGTCAGAAAATACCCTGTATTAAAACAAGCAAGGTCATGAGATCTAGAATAGATAGGATGGATTTAGCTCATGGAGATCCTTTAGCATAGTGTTCTCATGCAGACACCAATTTCATTTCACTTTGTGATACGTGATTTTCTTTCTGTTACAATAACATAAGAGCTATGATAACACATAGACTGCAAAAAGTATCAGAAAGCCATTCATCACGGAAAAAGTACCTGTTCAAAGCTAGGAATAAGTGAGACTGGTAAAACATTACTGTGATCTGGAGGGAGGAGAGAGTTTTCAGGAGATAATTTTCATGTATTCAGTTCCTTCAGAGATAATTGTAATGTATTCAGTTTCTTCAGAGATAATTTGTCAAACTACATAGGGCATTTCTTAGTTTGATTAACAGAAGTATGTCCTTTATTTCTGTTCTGACATATTACTTTTCTCTCTTGACATTCGTCTTCTAGGTTTTTAAGACGAAGTGTTCATGGTATGATCCAGCTGGCTTCTAGGAATCAACAACCCCCTTGTGAATAATGGTTAAAAACGGATCCCACCTGGACGTTGAAACACTGGCAATGCTCCAGAATAAAGCTATCTCCATCACCCTGCCAGTTGTGTATACACTGGTGGCTATGATCAGTATCCCCGGAAACTTCTTCTCCCTTTGGGTGCTTTGCTGGCACATCAAACCCAAAACACCTTCTGTTATCTTCATGATCAACCTAAGTATCACAGACCTCATGCTGGCCAGCTGCTTTCCCTTCCAGATTTCTTATCACATCCAAAACAATCACTGGACCTTTGGCAAGACTCTTTGCAGCCTCGTCACCGTGATGTTCTACTCCAACATGTATTCTTCCATACTGACCATGACCTGTATCAGCATTGAGCGGTACATGGGTGTGGTATATCCCATGAAGTTGATCAAATGGAGAAGAAAAAGGTATGCCCTGGCTGTCTGCCTAGGTATGTGGATTTTCTTGCTACTAGCTTTCTACCCACTAGAAAGCACAGATCTGACCTATGAAGTAGAAGAACTGGGGATTATAACCTGTTTTGACGTCCTCAAATGGAACATGCTGCCCAACTTTGCAGCCTGGGTAGCCTTTCTCCTCACGCTGTTTGTCGTGCTCTTCCTGATCCCTTTTGTTGTAACAGTTGGATGCTATATTGGCATCATTCGTAAGCTCATTCAGACATCCAACAGATATGGTAACAGGCAGAAGACCAGATCCATATACCTGGCAGTGATCGTCCTTCTGGTATTCATCACTTGCTTTGCCCCCAACAACTTTATCCTGCTTGTGCATATGATCAGCCGTCTGTTTTACAGCAGGAGTTTTTACCCTGCCTACAAGTTTACTTTGTGCCTCAGCTGCCTCAACAACTGCATAGATCCCTTCATTTATTACTTTGCATCCAAAGAATTTTACCAGAAATTCATGCAAGTGTTTCGCCCTAAGGTACTGCTCAGCGACAGTTTGGAAAACAGAAGGGAAAGCTTGTTCTCTGGCAGGACCATGTCAGCCAGGTCGATGTCAAGTGGACCTATGGATGGGTTAGAGGGAGTAAAGGTCTATCTGCAAAGGCAGGAAAGTGTTTTTTAGCCTTAGACATCCCCAGAAGAAAATCACATGGGAGATCCACGAGCAGACACAGGAAACATTTCTTTTGGAATGGCTACCCTCAAAATACCTTGCTCCAGTGGCAGAACTCAAGCCATACTTACATTGCACGTCCTACTTCAGCATTTTCTGGTAAGAAATGGAAGCATTAAAGGAACTGAGTTTATTCAAGAAGGCACTGAAGCAAACTCAACATGGATAATTAGGGGTTGGCCTGGAATTAGTCCAACTGCTTGAAACCAAAGAATAAGTTTAGAACAAAAATGACTTTCAGATTGCATGAATTCAGTGTTTAACTGAGATTGCTTGTGATTTGCAATCAATGTGAAATATTACTGTATATGAATTAGACTATACTCTGAAGTTGAATTTGGGGTAGGAGAGTTATTTTTCTAAGCAATATGTTGGTTTCTTCTGTGTTGTTGTTGTTTTAATGTATTGCATTCTCTCTTGTATTTCTATAAAAGAATGAGTAAAAATAGCTTGTCATCTTTCCATTAATGTGTAACCACTGTGAATTCACCACAGCACTCACCCAGCTGTTTATCAGAAGCAAATCACACTGACCTTTGAGTCAGATTAGGTTAACTCATACTATGTATTTCAATTTAATATAGCAAAACATCTTATACAATGAAAGGAAAGCTAGAACTAACAAAGTTTGAGACTACTTCAGCTGCTGAGTGGATTACATTTTCATTTGCTGAAGTTATTAATTTTTCAGGACAGTGGGGAGTCTTTATTTAGGAAAACAGATTTTCTCACATAGGCCTACTACAGTAATAATGCTGCTGCTCATGTGTGATTAGTATCAAGTAATTTTCACCAGTTCACTATAGGCTATCTGCAGAAGCACCATCTCTCTCAGCAGAAAGTTTAGCTTTATATAGTGCACAGGCAGTGTGCTTATATTCCTTATCGTGATGGACTATTAACCAGATTTCCAGCTGGATATATAAGAATTCAGCAACATACTGGAGTGATTCTGTACCAGCAGAAAACAGCTGAAAACCTGACCCTTTGGCCAGTTGTCAGAAATGTAATCCTTTCAAGCATGCAAAGAGAAGGAAGAAAAAAAAATGAAAGTAAGGCTTGAGAATGGGCAATGTACCAAATACTCTGGCAATGGATTACAGCAGGTTCATTGTGCAGTCCTGCATTTAGGACTCCTCTCCAAAATACCCTTCTGCAGCTTGTTGGCATATATCATGTCGTATTTTGATTCTTCTCATATCTCAACAGCTGTGTGCTTGGAGAGACAACTGCTACAGAATATGTACTGTGGACAGAGAGAGGCAAAGTTGTTTCTATAGTATTTGCAGCTTTTTACCTACCTTCGGCCCTCATCAACAGTGAAGATACACAAAAAACCTGACACAGCCAGATGAGTTTCCACTCATAAGTGGGACAAAGATATAAGTTATCCTTCCAGGGTGCTGCAACTCTCTTCTGCTGACTGCTTGCCCAGTACAGAAGGATATTGTCATTAATGGGTCTACCAGCAGCCAAACTCCTCCCTCTGCTCCCACATCACACACCAGAGATCCAAAGTGCGGGACTTTGGCCCAGAGGGAGGAACAAGCCAATGCACTCACTCACTCACTCACCACTTATTGTGTGAGGAAAGACGCAAGCTGACTCGGGAACCATGCCATGGGAGGAGGTATCAGCCAGACAGTCAGACCAATTATGCAGTAGTTTCCCAGAGAGAGACTCCTAATCTTGTCCTGCCATCCTGGGATCTCCACTTGCTATGAAGAGTCAGGGAGCCCTTCCCATAGCCAGATTCCTCACACAACAAACACTATGCAAAAAATCCTCCTAACTCCCCTGCAAGCAAAGACAGCTCTTATGTAGGTGGCTTCTTGCCCCACCTCCAAGTTAATGTGGAAGATGGGTGCACCTGGTGGTGATCTCACCAGTTCCCACCCAAGGCTGGCCAGACCCTGAGTGAAAAGCAATCAAGACTCCATCCAGTGGTGAATAGCAGGCTATCTTACACATCGTGGGTAGTTGGCTCAGCCACCACTTGCTACTGGTGCATGACTTCTGATTCTGAGCTCCCACGCCTAAGCAAAAGACAACACCCAAGGCCCTTAAAATCTGCCCTTATTCTTTGTGTATGACATCATTAACCACAATTTTCCACCACTAATCACCACATATTTCCTCATTACAGAAGCTGGATAACCCCAAATCAGCTGTGAGATACTTTTATGTCCTGAAAGTATCTGCTAAAGTACTGCCAGATATTGGAGCAGGATAAATTAGACTGGACACAGGGCTACCTTTCAAAAGCCATCGGAAGTGTTTTGTGGCATTTCACAGTGTTAGTTTTAATTGATCTTGATTAGTTTTCATTTTCTGCCCACAAGGCCAACCTTAGTGATACATAAGCCATCCAAACCTTACCAATGATTTGTCTGGGAGCAGGGTAGCTGCCCTGCACTACCAGCCCGTGGGTGTGCATGTTTGGTGAGATGGGCTTGCTACCCATGTGGTAGCATGTGTATCACCTCAAATCACCTCACGTGTGCTGAAAGAGAGGAGCCCACTAAATATGTTCCTATCTGAGTCTGGGGTTCTGAGCTCCTGTGTCAGCTCTAGCAAATGCTATGAAATGTTGGCTTGCACCAGAACCTCCAAAGAAAGAATGATGGCTCTTCCTAAGCTGTGCCACATCCATCAGGCAGAAATTCAATTTACTTATTTGCTGCAAACCTGCATATTAATTTAGCAGTGCATGGTTTCACCTAGCTGTTCAAGTCCCTTCACCAGCCATTTTCAAAGAATTCCATCTTTCTCACTACCAAAACTGTTTTCAACATATTTCTGTGGCAGAAACTGTTTTGGAGGTTATACTGAAATCTCATTTTTCACTGTTTTATCATGAACCTGAGCCTCAAGTCCCTCTTAAAATGTGCTGCAATATGCCTGAACTACAACTGACCCCAAACAGAGCTAAAAGGGCAGAAACTTTGCACTTTGGACATCATATATTTTGAAAAATATTATTGAATTGCTATTTTTGCAAGAGAGGAGAGATGCTCACAACTGACTGAAAATGTTCCTCCCTCCAGCCTCACATAGCTCTTCATAGCCCTTCACTTCTCTTCTGATTTTGTCTAAAAATGAACAGGAAGGATGCCTCATTTGGGTACCTCTTGCCATTTTACTCACTAGCCTCTAGCTAGCTCAGATTAGATAAAATTCCTATTTGGGCTAGCGGGATTGATCCTTGAGAAAGGAATATAAAAATGAACCCAACAACAGTAATATTTTGAGTGTGATGGTGTATACTGTGAAGGTTTGGAAGGGGTTTTAGAGAGGAGAAGAAATTATTTCTAAAAGTGGCCTATCATGCTGCTCTTTGACAGTGGAAGTGTTCTTCTGGGGCACCATAAGGAAGCAAGAGTTTTACCCTCCTTGGTGAGTGGGTGTGAGTTCATGTACACACATATATATATTAAAAAATATATACACATACATGTAGATTATCATTTGAGATATTCTGGAGAAGTTAATGTCTGTATTGCCTTTGGTTTGGGGAATACGGGTTCTGAGAAACATGCTTACTTGAACGCTTCTATTGTTAATAAAATTTTCCTGAGAAGACATGAATGTATATAGAGGCATCTATTTTGGTTTGGTGTTTGCTTTTTTTTTTGTGCTGTTGATTTGTTGTGTTATTCTTTTTTAAATTATCATTTAGCATTTCAATCTAGGACTGTGCTTGGACATTTTTTGCATATATAATAATTAAAAAAAAAAAGACATCAAAAGGCCATCATTTAAGTTTCTTTCCTTTGCTTGCTCCTGCCACGTGCAAGAAAATTCCAAGATTAGAAGAGGGCAAGAAACCAAGTTATGAAATAAACCGGATCTGTTTCCCATTGTTATTGTGCTTTTCTTAGACTTCTCTATCATCTGAAGTCTCTTATTTTTCCCATGCATTTTGAAGAATGATTTTTTTTTCCCTTTGCATACTTGATCTTTTTTTATAATTATTTTTTTCAATTTAAAAGTGTTTAAAATAATATGAGCTATTTTATGATGTATTTATAACATGATAGAGAGACGTACAACATACAACATTATAGGAGATAAGTACTTAAGAGTATATGCTACATACTGAAAGTGTGCACGCTAGCATGAATGTTTGAGGGTGAAGTTCAGCATTGGTAAGTGTGAAGAACATGGAAGCACATGGGAATATCTAGTCATAGCTTTGTGTACAAAATGATGTTGCTCAGCACTGACCACTAAGAATCATAATACATGTTTCCATGCATCGGCTCAGCACTGTAGAAAACCATGGTTCACCCACACGTTGCTTACTTTGTTCACTTCTGGGTCTCTTCATCACAGACAGGATCTACAAGAACTGGAAAAGGTCAAGAGAAGCTCTTTGGGACGATCTAAGGAATGAATTTAAACCCTTCTGAGGTAAATAGCTTACGACTATTCAGCTCAGACAAGAGACAGTACAAAGAAGGTAGAAAAGAGGTCTACAAAATCCTCAGTGGAGTGCAGAAGCTGATCGAGAGGAGTTCCAATGCCTTCACCCCAGAAAGAACTGGGGAATAACATATTAAGCTAATGAGATCCAGGCTAAAACCAAGGAAAAGTTAGTGTCTCTTCTCATAACATATAGTTATGTCTGTAAGCTAGATAGCCCCTTTTTCCCACTCTAGTCAGTCTCATGCTTCCATGTACAGCCTGCCAGAACTGCCTTGGAACCTGGCTTCTTCTGCTCTGCCTGTTGGGGTGCAGCCTGTGGGGATTCATCAGGGAACTTTGCCTGCTACTGTCTTGGAAGAAACTATCCCAGAGCCAGGGAGGGAGCTGAGAGTGCCCAAGAGTGATCTTGGGGCACAGGCTTGGCTCTCTGTCACTTAGCCCTGTGGACAAGTCATGAGGTAGTTGAGATTGGAAGAGAGCTCTGGAGGTCACCTTTCCAGTGCCCCAATCAAGCAGTCCTTCGAGTTTAGGTAAAGATGAACTTGTGTATTGCCCTTCAGCAAACCTGTCTGGCTGCTGGTAGCAGTTAACCCATTTTAATTCAATTTCTAACATCTTTTCTCACCTCTGTTCTCATTTTTA